CCAGCTCCTCCCAGACTCTGGGCCTCTGGGTGAGTTGGTATTAGTCCAGGGGTGCTTGTTTCTGGGGTTTTTTTTTTCATTCCTGCAGCCCCCCCCATCTACTGGGAACCCCAGATCTGTAAGCACACAGTACATCGTGCCCTTTTCTACCTCATTTTCTTTGAGTATGTTTTTAACGAAAGTGCCACTTCCCGACTCCTCTGATCAGGATAATTGCTCCCTTAGTGTCTCAAACATGAGAAGCTCCCCCGTCTCCGTTGCCGCCCCCGTTGTGCAGGATTCATCAGTAACCAGCCTCAGCCCCTTCCCCCAGGCCTCGCTGCTCTCTCAGAGCCACGTTTGAATCCACTGATCAAAGATGCCCCCAACTCAGCGTAAACGCAGACCTCCTTCAAGCTCTGAGCGCATGAAGCAGGGAGCCAGGCAGACTGAGCCGAAACACCCTTGGAGCTCCAGATGAGAAAGCCTCCTCCTGACTCCCTTCCTGTGTGGGCCTCAGTGTCCCTCAGTGTCGCCGTCCCTAGAGGAGGTGGGATCATAAGTTGCTCCTCTCTGGACTACCCATAAATCATGCAGTTGTCCTCTGCCCGGTGCCTCCAGGGAACTGTCAGACCAGAAAAACTGTCTGGGATGGAGGTGGAAAATGGGAAGACCATGGATTTGGGGTCAGAAATCTCACCGCTGTTGAACTTCACCCTTTTCACCTGTGAAATGGAAATCTTCACATTTTTTCTTTTTTTTATTTTTTTAAATAATTTTAATGAACATTTACAGAGAATTTGGATTTCCATTCATTCATTGCTGCACTTCTCTCCCCACCCAGCCCTCTCCCCCCATCCCCCAGTTCGCTCCTCTCTTTCAAAAGTAAAAGAAAGACTCCCTCCCTGGTACACAGTCCCCCCGCACCCTTCCCACCGCCCCAAGTACATTCCACTATGCAACCTTCATTGTGGACTCTTATGATAACCGTAGTACCCTATCATACATCGCTTTTAAATTATTCAGTCCCTGTTCACATTTTAAATGAGAAAGATAAGTGTCAGCAGCTACTTGCTGGCTCCTCAGCCAAGGACTTGTTCGCTCCATGCCTGCCTCTACCAAAGCCTCGATGGCTGTTAGTGATGTTACAACAGGAAAGGGAATGAAGTGATCTCTCGGTGGTGGTGCAATGATAAAGTGCTTTGCTGCTCACCTAACCCACCCGACTGTGGGAGGGAAAGCCCAGCGATCTGCTTCTAAAGATGATGGCTCAAAAATCCTGGGATGCAGTTCTTGTCACGTGGGGTGGAACCCACGACACTCCGTAACAGCAGCAGCTAGACAGAGCGGGGAGCTGAAACTGTGGCCACTGGGGGTGGGGGGTAATGGCCCGAGCCCCTCGGGGTCCCCCAGGCCCCAGAACATCATCTGTTGCTTCTTTTTCCCTCTTGGCAGGATAACTCCGATGCCTTCCTGTTGGCTGTGGACACAGACTGGAAGGTAGGTTACCATCCAGCCTCCTGAGATGGGAGGCCACCCACCCTGCCTGGTCCCACTGGAGGCTGTAACGCTTTTTGTGTGCCCCAGCCCAAAAGGGCTTTCAGGATCCCCCGACTGGTCTGCTCCCTGCCCAGTGGAGCAATGTTGGAATCACTCTGGCAGCCTTCCTCCCTGAATGCTGGAGAGGACACTGGGGGAAGGAGTGACCTGGAGGACAGAGGCAGAGAAGGGAGTGAAGGATGTTGTCATCTGAATCAGCATTCTGCACCAATGAAAGCCAGGTTGATGCTCAGAAATAGCTCCCGTCTCCATAGCAGCTGTTGCCTGGACAACCATGTCCTCCTTCGGCTGATGCCAGAGTCTCTGAAACCTAAACATGCTTTGTTTCACTTCCTCCTCTCAATGGTTTTGTTCCTGGCCCCACCATGTCACCCCTCTGAGTCCTCATTTATTTCTGGGTGTCTGGCATCAACCATCTGCTTTTTGGAGGCAGAAAAGGGCACTGAGGCCCCGTGGATATCAAAACCTGCTGAGCAAACACAGACCCTTGTAGGACATTCGTCTGGCTGGCTGGAGCTGGCCCCCCGGGCCTGTGCCGTGGTCTGGGCTGCCTCCAAGCCTCGTGACAGCGTCAGCCTTGTGGTCTGGATGACGTGGCAGGGAGCTGGCTCTGCAGTGAGGATGGGCCTGTGCATTTGGTCCTTGGTCACACGCCCTCTCAAGGACGAGAGGGGAGCCTCCAGGCAGCTGAATGTGCACATGCCCGAATCTCCAACACAGCCAGAGTCAAATCCCCCTGGAAGGATGGAAACAGAGTGTGGGATGGAGGCGTGTAAGGGGAGTGGTAAAAGCTGGCCCAGCCTGGCAGGTACGATCAGAGGAGAGCAGAGCAGACCCTCAGCTCCAAAGCAAGCAAGACAGATGGGCCGACAGGTAGTAGCGGAGGGGACTTGCCCTGACACACTGGTGCCACAGCAGCGGGACTGTGGTGGGCGGGGGTGGGGGATTCCTGCCAGACACACCCACACTGGACGGCCCCCATGGAGCAGTTCTGAGGTGGCCCCTGTCACACCCCTGCTTGCTGAGGCTACTGCTTCTAAGCCACCTCTTCTGCCCCCTCCGTGGGGCTCTCTGAAGAACACCCCAACAGGGTGCCGACCTGAATCTGAAAACCCTCCCAGATAAAGGGCAGCTCGTGCTCAAAGGAGCCCATGCCAGTCTCTCTCTGGTGTTTTTTTTTCAAAGCATCTCTAAGTTTGGCTGCTAGGAAGGCTGAAGCTGGCTGAGCTTTTACCCTGTTGGACAGGGGCAGGCGGCGTCACTGCTCTGGCTGCAGTGAGCCAGACAGGGACGTGGCAAAGGGACACGTGAGAGCCAGCCAGACTTGGGTCCAGGTCCCAGCCCTGCTGCTTCCTGGCCACACGTTGCTGAGGACAGGTCACTCCCCCTCAGCTCTGTCATCTGTGTGGAGAGACAGGGCTCAGTGCCCATCTGTGCAGTGTTAAAGGTCGGGTACTGTCTGCACGCTGAACATTTACACTTCTGGTAACCCTCAGCTGACTAACCAGAGAGGCTACCAAGGAATAGGTTGCCCATCTGTCTCCTGTGGAACAGCTAGTGGATTTGAACCACATACCTCTGTGTGGGCAGCATAATTCCTTATCACTAAGCCACCAGAAGGGAGCTTTGGGGCCCAGTGGTAAGGAGTTGGGCCAGCAACCCAAAGGTATGTGGTTCAAATCCACCAGCTGCTCCACAGCAGAAGAATGGGCAGTCTCGTCCCCTGAGATTAAATGATTCTGAAAACCCACTGGAGGGTCAGCTACGGGTCAGCTCCAGCTTGACAGTATAAAACAACAGCAACAACAACAAACCACCAGCGCTCCCACTTGTGCAGTACGCACTTTTCCTTCCATCCACAGATATGGAGGCTCACAGAGGTTGAGTGACTTGCACACAATGGGGGAAAAATAGCAGAGCTGTGATTGGTACGAGGGACTGGTTGGCCCCAGAGCCTGGCTGTCAGTCACCACGTGGTTGGGATCCAGACTTGAGCTTCCTCTGCGAGACCACAAGGTTGCAGAACTCCAGGCAACAATTGGGGAGCCTGAGGCACAAAGAGGTTGAAATTTGCTCAATGGTCAGGGCTCAAGCAGGTCTGTGTGGTTCGAAGCCAGGGAGCTGAGCAGACATGAAGGCTGGGGACATAGAGGAGTGGGCAGTGTTAGGAGGCAGCTTCTCACCTGGTTCAGAGGTTGGAGTTTGATTGGGTTACATAGGGGTTGGAGGGGGTGGAGACTTGGCAGTTACCCTCCGTCCCTCATGCAATAGGACACTCCTTGTCCTCTTGGAAGAGCATATGTGAGGACCAGAGGACAGGGCTGCTGGGATGGGGTGTCTGAGCTTCTTCCTGTGCTGAGGACAGAGCATAAGACCTGAGGTACAAGGGGGTCACCTGCTGCCCCCTGGCACTCTGGAGGATGGACACAGACAAGCAATCTGCTCCAGGCCCCCAGAGCAAGAGGACAGAGGTGGGGAAGGGGTGGTTTTGTTCCCCACCCACTGGCTCCCAAACAGATGTTGTCTAGATTGTCAAGCTGTGAGGCGCTCCAGGGCCGAAGGTGAGGCTGTCAGTGCAGGAGGGGGGCACGTGATGTGTTCCAGGCCCAGCGAGACAGAATGGGGGCAGAGGCAGCCAGAACTCCGCCTCCCCGTCGCTCTCCTTTTCTCAGCCTTGAGCTCCCTTCTCTGCTCACCTCCTTGGCCCATTTCCTCTCCTCCTCTGCCTCCCTCCCCACCCCCTTCTCTCTCCTCTGCTCTCTGGCGCCTCTGCCCAGGTCCTGCATCCTACTCCCGAGAGACCTGGGAGCTAAGCTCCAGGAAACGAGGGGTCTTGTCTGCTGTGATAGGTTGGCTGCTGCACCCTCTTCTTGAAGCTCAATAGGGGTGCCCTCCATGCCCCTAGGCCCAGAACCATCCTTGCAGCGACGGTCTGCAGGCTTTGGGTAGCCGTGGACAGTATGTGAGCTGCACTAGGGAAGCAGGATCTTCTCCAAGGTGCTGGCCATGCCTATCACGCCCAGGCTCGTTGGGGGCACTGGATGCTGAATGTGCTTATCCAGGGCGTGCCTGGGTGTCAGCCGCGACCTGTCCTGCGAGTGGTGTCTGTTGAGTGGCACTTGTGTGCAGGGCATGCCTGTCCCTCTGCCCCTGGGACCCTTGTATGTATAGCTGCAGCTGCTGAAGCACGAGAGATAACGGGACCATCCAAGATAATGTGTTACTGGGGGCGGGAGCAGCAAGCAGCAGTGCTGGGGGTGGGAGCGAGAACCTCGGAAGCCAATAGGAGCCCGAGTCGTCTCCCAGTAGCCAATCGGGGAGCGGGGGCGCGGGCGAGCGAGTGGCTGCTCCCGAGTCCCGCAGGGAGGGGCGGGCCCTGGCAGGGCCGAGATCCTGGTATAAATGTCCTGGGATCGAGGCCCCATCACACGTTCGTCCGTCTCTGCCCCATCGCCCCTTCCCCGGAGTGACTCAGGCTTTTGTCAGTCCTTCCTGGGCGAGTCGGGGCCCTCCTCCTCCACACGATGCCGGAGTGCTGGGACGGGGTGAGTGGCTGGGACGCGGAGGCAGGCACCCCTCGCCTGGTGTCCGGCAGGCTGACCCTGCAGACGCCCCTCGTGGGCAGCCCTCGAGGGCTGCGAGGTGGTGGGGAGCGCGCAGGGTCGGTGGCATCCGCGGAGAAGGCCTGGCTGGGTCTGGGCCTTGCTGTGTGTCTGCAAGGGGAGCCCAGGAGGTGACCCCCCGAGGGTGTCTGCAGGCGGCTGACCTCCTGCTGGCCTTGGGGGGTGTGGGGGTGGTTTGAGTATCCTCCTTTCTTCCTTAAGAACTAAGTGCAGGGCTCCTCGGGGGTCCCCAGGGCACTTAGGCGTCAACCAGGCAGACAGCTCCGTGGCGCCCCGGGAGGCTTGGGTCCCTGGCAGGGAGGGGGCGGAGAGCGGTCCTCGTGCCTCATTTTGTGGGTGGGCGAGGGCGGCACTGGATTCCTGGGCCCGGGATGGGGGGCTCACGGTGCCAGGTGGGTGCACCCCACCCCTGGGTCTGCAGGTGCACAGCACTTGGGCCGTTATCCTCAGGGAGGGAGGAGGCAAGGCCGCCACCTCCCCCCCTCCCGCCTCCCAGACCCGCAGACCAAGGGATCGATGGTGGGATCGATCACTCGCCCCGAGGTGGCATCAGCCCAGCTTGCGCAGTCGTCCGTGGCCAGTCGTCCGTGGCATCACTGAGCCTCCCCCTAATGTCCCCTTTCCCTCCAGCGCCCCAGCTTTTTCGCTCGCGGGCGCTGCAGCCCTCAAGGTCACGGGCGAGGGGAGGTGGGACGTCAGGCTCCCCCCCCCCCCACTGCGGCAGCTGCCAGCCGGCGCCCACCTGGGGGCGGGGCAGGGAGGGCTCTGACGTCACCCGGAGCCAATGCGAGCGCTCGGCCCCAGGGTTTGGGGGACTCAGAGCTTGTACTGCGGCTGGAGGGGGTCCCCCCCGCCCTGTGCAGCGATAAGAATAATAGGGGAGCTCGATCTGAGCTCCCGGCTGTTGGACGGTTCGCAGGACAGCAGGAGGGTTCGGCCAAGGTCACGAGGCCACACGGGAGGGGCGTCAGGGGCTGGTGAGCCCTGCCCTGGCCCAACCTTCCCTGCCCCAGGGGAGCTGAGCCTTCGCGGGGCCAGCACTGCAGCTGGACGCACTGCGGGATCAGGCCTGAGTGGCTATACCAGGACTGGACCGGGACCAATATGGCCCTCCTCAGCAGTAGGGGGCCAGACATAACCCCACACAGCCCGGGTGGGGAGGCCTGGGTGGGAAAGGCGGCCAGCGAAGGCCCAAGCCTCCAGCCTCTTACGGTGACGCTGACTTGGGAATCTGCGCTGAGAACTCCCCGTAACGCAGGAAGCATATTGCAGCTATCCAGCATGTGTGCCTCATCAAGGCCAGAGAAAGATCAAGTGCGGCAGGGACCCCCAGCAGGAACAGCCAGCTGTGTGTGTGCACACCCCTCCCCCCCCACGCTGGCACCTTGTAAGCCTAGTGCCTTCCCTGGCCTTGACCTTGGCCCATCACTTCTTTTTGAACCTCAGCTCCCTTCTCTGTGGCTTGGGTCTATATGAGGAGCAAATGAGAACTGTGTCCAGCCTGTGGCTGGTGAGCAGGAAACCGATTTTTTTTTACAGACTCTCACCATCAAGACACCAGAAATCAGAGCAGAGAGAGGGAAGCCCGTGGTGGATGTGGGCTTCCTGGAAGTTAGCAGGACCTCAGCAGTGGGAGGGTGGCTCCCACAGGCGGCCTCTAGTTTCAGACTGGTACCACCTTGTCACTATCCACAAGAGACACGGTTCCAGACAGTGGTCCTCTGGACCTGGACCCACGAGAGCCAGTCTCCCCTTTCCTGTCGAATCCATTCCCTCTGCCTGAGGCAGTTGCCCTGCATCAGCCAAGGGCCTCCAAAGTCACTGGCCCTGTGCATCCCAGGTCCCTTCTGTCCTTGACCCTGGCCCACCTCTGGCTGACTGGGGCACCCCGCTATGGTCCAGGACCACCATGCTGTAGCCTGGACTGTTAATTCAACTCTGACAGGCCCTCTTGGAATCTCTTGATGCAGAGGGACCAGCCAGCCAGGCATCTCCCCAGGGGTCAGGGAGGCCCAGGCACAGCCACCCCCCCCCCGCCCCCATCCTCTCTGAGTCCCACACATCCCCCAATTCTCTGAGTTAATCCTTACAAAGTCCCCCTAAGGTAGCTCTAAACAGAAGGTGACACATCCTCTCAGAGTCACACCCTCGAGATGGTTGGATCTTGAACTTACAGCAGTAGAACCACTGTTTCCCCTTGGATCAGTGGCCCTGAGCAGCAAAGCCAAGAGTGTGAGCACAGGAGGATTCCAGAGTGGGCGCTGGGAAGGCCTTTAAGGATATGCGTGGGCTCTAGCCTGGGGCCTAGCCTTGAGGAACCTGGGGGAAAGCGTTCAGTGTGGAAGGACGGAGGTTCTGGTGGCCTAGTGGCAAGAAGCTGCGCTCCAGTCCCCGTGTGGAAGGACCAGGGGCCTGGAGATGGGACCAGGGCAGGTGGAATGGGGTCTGGTTTATCAGGTACTCCCACAGGGACTGTAATTCCTGGGTAAGGAGAACAGTTCATATAATCAGCTGGGAACAGAAAGGTTGGAGGTTCAAGTTTACCTAGAGGCAGCTCGGAAGAAAGCCTTCTTGATCTGCTTCTAATAACTCAGCCAACGCACACCATACGGGGCGCAGCTCGACTCTGGCACATCTGGAGTTGGGATCATGGCGACCTGAGAGCAGCTGGCAGTGGTCCAGCCATGGCTATTGGGAGCATTTTCCCCTACAGGAGCAGGGAGCCCTTGAACGGTCCTCAGATGAGGCGTTCCAGGAAGGGGTGAGGATCAGCCTGGCTGAAGGGGCTGGGGGCAGGTTGTCCCCAAGGCCGCAGGATGGAGAAAACAAGCCTTGGCCCCGAGGGCTGAGGGTGGGCTGGGGCTTGGCTTGCTGGCTGCATTCGCCAGGCCTGGCACTTGACACTCCAGTTCACCTTATTCCTTAATATGCCTGGGACGGCTGCTCCATCCGGTCTGTCCTCTCTGGGGACTGTTCAGGATGATGGGAATGGGATGCCCCAGATGGGAACCCCAGCCAGACCCAACAGCCCATAACCTCATTCCCCAGGAGACCCAGGGGTGGGGGCTCCCCAAAGCGTCCAGCTCTGTCTGTCTCCTCCAGGAACATGACATCGAGACGCCTTACGGCCTTCTGCATGTGGTGATCCGGGGCTCCCCTAAAGGGAACCGCCCGGCCATCCTCACCTACCATGATGTAGGCCTCAACCGTAAGTGACCAGCCTCACGGGGCCCTCGAGTCCAACCCCCTCCCTAAGGGGTCCCCAGCTGAGCGCTGGGACCTTTGCCGTCTGGGCCTTGGTTTCCCCTTGGGCCCTGAGCTTGACCAGCTCTGTCCTTCACTTAACCACAGCGGAGAAATATGTCTTTGCAGACAAGCTGTGCTTCAACACTTTGTTCAACTTTGACGACATGCAGGAGATCACCAAGCACTTTGTGGTCTGCCACGTCGACGCCCCCGGGCAGCAGGTGGGGGCGTCGCAGTTCCCTCAGGGGTAGGTACTCTGAGCCCCACCCCCCTCAGTGTTCCCCCGACTCTTGGCCCAGGCTGCCCTGAGCCCTGATGGCCTGTTCTGCCTGCAGGTACCAGTTTCCCTCCATGGAGCAGCTGGCCGCCATGCTCCCCAGCGTGGTGCAGCACTTTGGGTGAGGCCTTATACTGGGGAGCAGGGGTGCGCAGTACTGCCCCAGAGCCGCCAGGCTCCAGCTGAGGGCTGAGGTGGGGCTGGCCCCGGGGAGGGGGTACAAGAGCATCATGGGAATAGCACCCACAGTCCTAGATTTACCAGTCATGTTGTCTGCCAGGTTCAAGTATGTGATCGGCATTGGAGTGGGAGCCGGAGCCTATGTGCTTGCCAAGTTTGCGGTGAGTGATCCCCCCCCACCATGGGAATACATTCCCACAATGCCTCAGGTCTCTCCCAGAGTGACCCTTTGGCCACAGCGAGGTCTTCCTGCTGTCTCTCTGTTCTCCTTCTCCAGCCACCACTTTGTACTTCTTTTTTTTTTTTGGTGCTGAAACCCTGAAGTGAACCAACCACTTGTACTTCTTTTACATTTGAGTCTGTTTTCCTTTTTTCCCCCCTCTAAGGAAAATTTTTTAAAATTACTCTTTCAAATTTCTCTTAGCAAACAGATGATACAACTAGTTGCTCTAATCACTAAGTAAGAATTAGCTTGCTATAGGACGTACTTGATGGCACCTAACAATTAAGCTAGAACAGACAGATAGGTCTTGGAGAACGTTCAGCCACAGTGCTCTTTAGAGTCTAGCATGGTGAAGCTTCATCTCATGTACTTTGGGCTTGTTCTTAGGGGGGACTATTCCTTGGAAAGAGACCTCCTGCTTGGAAAGGTGAAAAGTCACCCAAAGACAGGAAGAGTGTCAATGAGGTGGATTGACACAGTGACTGCAGGAACGGGCTCTAGTGTCTGTCAGAGCTGATGAGGACGGCACAGGATAGAGCAGGGTTCAGGTGGGTTGCTATGAGTCATCCTCGACTTGCTGGCACCTGACGAGAACACAACAATTAACCTAGAGAGAGTACTGGTCTGATGGCTTAGTGATAAGTGATAATTAAGCTGCCAACCCAAAGGTCTGCAGTTTGAATCCACTAACTGCTCTGAAGAAGAAAGATGGGCAGTCTCCGCCTATGTGATTTACTGCCTCTGAAAATTCAGTGGTGGGTCAGCTTTGAGTCAATTCCAACTCAGCAGCACTCAACACCATCATTAATTAAGCTGGGGAACTCTGAAAGGAGTTGTGTTACCAACCTGAAGGTGAATCCACCAGCTGCTCAACAGGAGAAAGATGGGCCATTTCCTCCTGTGTGATTTACTGCCTCTGAAAACCGGCTGGAGAGTCAGCTAGGAGTCAGTTTCAACTTGATGGCTCCCAACAACAATTAAGCTAAAGGGAGTTCTGCTGGCCTGGTGGTAAGGAAGTGATGGCCAACTCAAATGCAAGTGGTTAGAAACCGCAGCTTCTCTGTGGGAGGAAACAGGGCATTCTTCTCCCGTGTGATTTACAGCTTCTGAGAGCACACTGGCAGTCAGTTCTGATTTACGTGACAACGTTTAAGCTAGTGTACTCTCCTCAGGTAAAGACTGTCGACCGCAGAAACCCCACGGAGAAGGGTCACTGTGAACAGAACCGACTCGATGGCAGGGGACTTGGTTTTGATTTAATTAAGCTAATAATTAAGCCCGAATAATGCTTACCCCCAAATGACACTTATATTAACTTTATGAGATTTAAAGAAAGTCTTATTTGAAAAAATACTGTGCTGGGTAGGAGCTTCTAAGTTTCTCACCTCTAAAAACAAAGACTTTCATTTTAGGATTAAAAATTAATACTTTAATATTAACCTGTATTATAACAAATGATTGGCAGTATTGGAATCCAGGCTTTAGGGAGTCATGGGGGCTGGATGAACACTTGAGCCTTAAGCCTTTTAAACCTTAAACCAGAAATATATTGTAAAGATTTCTTAACACCCAATAGTAGATCAGTTGAACTAGTAAAGGATGCCTGCCTCGAGGGAACAGTAAGTCAAAAAGTAGGCAATTTAGGGACGGCGAGTTTATGCAGATGGAGGAAGAAAGAAGGATGAGAAAAGTTATATGGCTGAAAAAACGTAATCGCCGTCAGGGAAGGTACATGCAGAAACTGTTGCATTGTTGCTGGGATACTGATGTGTCTGGACTCAATGAAAATAAATTTCAAACACACACACACACACACACACACACACACACACACACACACATGCACATACGACCTAGTAGCCTTAACTTCAACTGTAAACAGAACACATTCCTGTTCTGTTAACTGCAGACCATTCCCTGCCACTCCAGACAGACCTGGCACAACTCTTGTGCGGTCGATGTACATATAAACATCTCCCTGTAACATGGGCAGTGAAACAGATAATGCGGATCGGTGTTACAATGTCCAAGGACCTCTATTGGTGCAGTGGTTAAATTTTTGGCTGGTAACCAGAAGGTCAGCAGTTTGAATCTGCCGGCCGCTCTACAGAAGAAAGATGGGACGGTCTGTTTGCATAAAGATTTTTAGAGCCTAGGAAATGCCGAGACTGCTCCGCTCTATCAGAGTCCAGAATCAGAGTTGGAATCTACGGCAGTGGGTTTGGTGGTTGGCTTGGTTGCGATATTTGATGTAAAACAAGCTGTAAAGAGGCCCATTTCCTCGTTCCAGTCATTAGGAACAAGGCCATCATTTTCTGTAAGCACAGAAGGGAAAAAGAAAAAGGTCTGCAGACATCACCACCAGATACGCTGTTGAAGATGTGTGTGCAGCCGTTTGATAGGCAGCGCCGGGGGGGGTGTAGCCAGTAGGGACGTGCTGCTGGCGGGAAGGCAGCGTCTCTGACGGTTCAACTCCGTTAGCAGCCCCGAGGGAACAAGATGGGTGTTCTCCTGCGCTTCCACTTACAGCCTCCCAGAAACCTGCTGGCGTTTTAGCGAGCAGGTGGTTCTGACTCGATGACAGTGAGGGAGTGAGTGGATCATTTTATAAAGGTGTATGAAAAGCAAAGCATCATGCTTGGAAGGGTGGAGGGAAGCACAGGAGAGGAAGACCCCGGGTGAGGTGGACTGACACTGTAACTGGGGCAATGGGATTAGGTGGGCTGGAGTCAGTGAGACTGGCTCAGGACAGGGCAGGGGTCAGAGCTGTTGGTCATAGGGTCACTGTCAGTCACAGGCAACTCAATGGCACATCACAACAGTATTAAAAGATTAAAAGCAGGGAACAACAATCTTGAAAGCAGTGGGGAAACAATAAGGCAAAGTATTATTATTATTATTATTTATTATTATTATTATTATTTTGTGTGTGTACCATCAAATTGGATCTGACTGGTACAGGAAGAGATTGGCCCTCCTTCTCCAGCAGAGCATTTGGTGGATTTGAATCGTGCACCTCTGGGATTGCAGTGCAGCTTCTTGCCACTGGGCCACTAGAACTCCCTAGGCAAAGAACCTTAAAAGGCTAGATTTAAGGGTTGGACTGCTAATTGGAAGGTCAGTAGTTAGAAATCCCCAGCTGCTCCACAGGAGAACAGTGAGGCAGTCTTCTGTTAAGATTTGCAGCCCTGGAATGATGGAGGGTGGTCACGAGTTAGAAGTGACTCAGTGGCAGTGAGCTTAAGGGGAGGGAGAAAGCAGGCATCAGTGCACAGAATAGAACTGCCCACAGTTTTCTCGGCCATATCTTAATTGAAGCAGACGTGCCAGGCGTCTCTTCATGGCACTCGTAGGTAGCTCCAAACCATTAAATCTTAGGTTATTCGTACGCCGGCACTGCTGTGAATCCCTTTAACTGATCCACAATTTACAACACAGGGCGGAAGGCCCTGCCCTGGAGGCCACAGCCCAGGGGGCTCCTTCATGCAGCCAGTCGACCCGTCATTGGCACCATGATGCCTGTGTTGAGCATTTCCAACCCCTTCACCCTCCTAGCCACTGGTGAGATGGTGGGAAGATGGGGGCTCCTTGTGCACCCCCGTGTCCACCCAGTCCTGTCTCCCCTCACTACAGCTCATCTTCCCTGACTTGGTCGAGGGGCTGGTGCTGATGAACATTGACCCGAATGGCAAAGGCTGGATTGACTGGGCTGCCACCAAGGTCAGTCGGGGAGCCTGGGGTGGATGTGGGGGTGGGGGTACAATGGGTGGGCTGCAGTCACACTGTTCCCCCTCCAACTGCAGCTGTCCGGCCTGACCAGCACGTTACCCGACACAGTGCTATCCCACCTCTTCAGCCAGGTAATGAGGTTGGAGGTGAAGGTGGCGGGGGACCCTCTGCAGATTCTGGCCAGCAGAGGGGTGGGGTTAGAGTCCACGTTGACTCATCTCTAGAGCTGAGGCCAGCGGGGGCAGCCACTCCATGTCTCCCTGGGAGCCACTGAGTTAGAAGCACAGACAGAGGCGGGTGCCCTCGCTTCCTCAGGCCCAGTCCGTCCGGATTGGGCACAGGCTGCTCTAGCCCTGACCCCCGGCCTGGCCGAACTCTGTCTCTCTGCTTGTCACCTTCCCTCTGTGTACCCTCGTCTCCTCCCCTGGCCCAGGAGGAGCTGATGAACAACACGGAGCTGGTGCAGAGCTACCGCCAGCAGATCGGAAACGTGGTGAACCAGGCCAACCTGCAGCTCTTCTGGAACATGTACAACAGGTGTGTGCAGCGCACCTAGGCCAGGGGTCCTGCCCCACACAGCCCGTGGCAGGGGCCAGCCCTGGGGGGGCCTACCCAACACAGCCCGTGGCGGGGGCCAGCCCTGGGGGGGGCCTACCCAACACAGCCCGTGGCAGGGGCCAGCCCTGGGCGGGCCTACCCAACACAGCCCGTGGCAGGGGCCAGCCCTGGGGGGGCCTACCCAACACAGCCCGTGGCAGGGCCCAGGCAGCAGCTCTTTCCACTTTGCGGATGAGCACAGTGACCCATCAAAAGGGCTCGCTCTTTGCCCAGGGTCACTCCTCACCCCATAACGGGTAGAGTGTAGTCCGGGAATGAAGTTCTGCACGCTGCGCCTTTGGGGTAGAGCTGGCCAGGAGCCCCTGGGGAGCATTGAAAGCAGCTGTGGCCCTTGATGGCCCTTTAAAGGAGTCCCTGCAGGGGGGCAGTCAGGAGCTGACACACTCCCACCTACTCACCCCCTCACAAAGATGTATTTCTCAAGCACCAGCTCCTGGGTAGTGCATTGGCAGTGGCAGGCGAGAGAGGGCACATCCCGCCACAAGATAGTTCTGTCCTCCGCTGATGGGCGCTCTGGGGACGTGAAAAGCATGAACTGAGGGTCTAGGAAGATTTCTGGGTAAAGTGTGCCCTGAAGCCCCCGGCACACAGGCCAGGTGATACCTCCCTGCTTTATAAACGAGTCTGCCCCACTGTTCAGCAAAGGATCCAAGGCCGGCTCTGTGCTCTCTGCTCTGAGACTGGCCCTCGGGGCTGAACCAGAGTTGGCAATGGGCTAATAGGGCATTGACAGTGTGAGGTGTGGGGATCCTCTCCTGGGGTCTCCTTCTGCTGGGATGCCCACCTCTACCTTGATCTCTCACCCAGCCGCAGAGACCTGGACATTAACCGGCCTGGGACGGTGCCCAATGCCAAGACGCTCCGGTGAGTGCCCCTTGTCCTCCTGCCTACCCTTGTCTTTGCCACCCCCATGCTCCCACACTGACCAGGCACCCTCTCCCTCTGTGTCCGCAGCTGCCCTGTGATGCTGGTTGTCGGGGACAACGCGCCTGCCGAGGATGGGGTGGTAAGTGGGGGTCAGCCCAGCCCAGCCAGAGAAGCCTAGAGGACAAGCACTGTACAGTGGAATTCTTGTCACGCTTCCTGCCATCTTGACATTGTCATGACCTGGTGTTCCCAAGACACATGAAGATGGGTGGGCACAGGGAGGCAGGGACCAGGGCTGAGCTATGTGATGGTCCAGTCTCCCACCTCCACGCTCTTTAAATCTGAGTCTGAAGGTTTTCTTTATCATTCGATAGATTCATTACCAAGGACATAAGTAGTCCTGTCTTGTCACCGTTTCCATCTGCCTTGGGGACAGTGACTCACCTTTCCTGCCTGACTCTGGGAGCGGGCAGCCTGGGATGGCACATGCCCCTCCGACAGAGGCTGCTGCAGAGTGGGCCCGGGGTACCCCGGTGCACAGCAACTCCTTCCTGTGACTTGAGGAGGCCTGGCAGTGCAGAGCGTGACTGTCACCATCCTGACCCCAGCAGCGGCCTCGCGCTGTCCTGTGGACCTCTGACTCCTGCCTGGTCTCCGCCCTGAGACCTGCAGACCTGGCCCTTTCCCAGCCACTCCACCGGGGCGGCCAAGCCCCTTCAGACTTTGCTGAGCCTCTGCCCCTTATGAGCGGCCCTGGAGTTCTCGGGGTGTCCTAGAGGCTGCTAACTGGTCTCCAGGGTCTTTGCCGGGATCGCAGGGGTGAAGCCTATCTGCCTCCCCAGCACACCTCTCATCTTACCAGTGAGCCTCAGAACTCTGGGTGTGGGACCCACTTAGCACACAGGATGCCCCCCGCCCCCCATCCTGCCCTCAGGTCTCTCGGGACCTTGCTTTCTGCTGAAGCTGCCTCCCTGCCCCCAGGTGGAGTGTAACTCTAAGCTGGACCCCACCACCACGACTTTCCTCAAGGTGAGGCCTCCCCCTCCCCAGCCCTGAGCCAGACCACCCTGCACAGCCCAGCCTCCGGGGTCTGGTTGGGGCCAGGCCTGCCTGGTCAGGGGGACTTGTCCATATGCGGGTGGGGCAGCTGTGCTACGCTGACCCTGCTCTCTCCTCTGCAGATGGCAGACTCCGGGGGGCTCCCCCAGGTCACACAGGTGAGGCTCTGGGCCTTCCCTCCCTGAGCACCAGCCCGGAGTTGGGGATCCAGGCTCCCCTGACCCCAGGCAGCCGTCAAAACATGTCCCTGCCCCACCCCCTTGCAGCCTGGGAAACTGACGGAAGCCTTCAAATACTTCCTGCAGGGCATGGGCTACAGTAAGTACATGCCCCACCCCTGCCCTGGACACCAGTGGGGGTCACGTTATTGGGATTGGCATCCAGATGCTGGGGAGGCTGTGGGTGTGTGCACTGTCATTTGGCCTCAGACTGTGTTGGGGGAGGACACACGAGGACTCCCGGTTGTGTTCTCAAAGCTGTGTGTTAGCAGCACCCCAGCTCTCCCTGCTGTGCCCTTGGGGAGAACTTAGGACGCTGTGTTGGTGGCAGTGCTGGGCTCTTCTCCCGACACTGGGTGGGGAACCAAGGATGTTGAGTGGGACAGAGCACTTACTCCTGTTCCCACCGAGAATCCCTCTGTCATTAGTGGTGTGTGGTGCCCGTCATGGACGTGGCTTGGAGTGCAGGGACCTGGGAGGACAGGTGCGACCATCTGGATGGGAAAGGAGCAGACAACAGCTGGGGCGTGGGGAGCATATCTGAGGACCCTGAGCTAGTAGCGGCTGAGGGACTGAACTTGCCTCGTCTCCCTCTTCACACCTCACCCCAAGTTTTTCCTTTAAGCAGATGAAGAGAGGCCCATCCCAAACATGCACGCACACTCTTCTGTCTCCTCTCCTGGGAAGCAAGCCTACTTGGCAATTTTGTTTTCCCGTCCAGACGCGCATCCCAGGAGCTTGGGAGGATGGGGGGCAGGGCTGGCATAGATCCCTCTGTTCCACCGGGGCTGCAGCCCCTTTGGACAAGTGGGGCAAAGAGAGACCAAGGCCCATATCAAGGCTCCGTTGGCACTTCCCAGCATGGCCACATCCAGGGGACATTTGTGGGACAGACAGACGAGTCCCACTTGCCAAATTCTGGGACAAGTTCTCGGGGTTAAACATCACCAGGCAGCCCAAGTCTTGAGAAGGATGGTGGGGCTCTGCGGGGCTCCCCAGTTCCACATGTGGGGAGACTGAGGCCCAGCAGAGTAACGAAGGTTTGGGCCTGGGACAGAGGCCCCAGCACCCAGCCAGGCTGGACTTAGCAGCTGCTAAGTCTCCTCACCCTGTTGTTGGGACCCCACCGTGGCACGGAGGTTCCCTGTGCCTTGGTGGGTGGGCCGGACCGGGCCCTCTGTGCCGGTTCCGTCTCCTCCCTCCGGCCCGTCCGAAGGCTCTGCGTCAGCGGACCACGCGCTTCACCCATGTTCTGTGTCTCCCCACGCCCGCCCCCCTCTGGCTCTGTCTTCTCTCTCAGTTGCATACTTGAAGGACCGAAGGCTAAGTGGAGGAGCAGGTAGCCGTGTGGCGAACCCCACCACTGCATGCCCCCCACCCCCAGCCCCCTCTTCTATGCAGTGCTGCAGCCAGGCTGCATCTTGCTGTCGTTTGGAACCTTTTGTGTCTTGCTCAGCTCAGAAGCCCCTGGTCCTCGTGGGCTCAGGCCTGTTGTGGGCTCTGGACTGGCTGAGCGTTTCTGCTTCTAGACTGTGGCAGCTGTGGCTTTCAGAGCTCTGGGTGCTTGGAACCAGACCCCATGTCCTGTGGGGTGCCCGGCCATACGAGTCTCTCCGATGAAACGGAAGACATTGACATAGGGTAGTTCAGGCCACCCCACCTTATCCTCCTCCTTCCCAGAAACAGCCCTAACCACCCACCCCCTGCAGTATCCTTCTGAAGGAAGCAGAGTTGGACATGCCCCATCCCTGCACCGGCTCAGGGCTTGTCCGGTCAGTACCCACCCTGGACTGGCCTGGGCTCTGGATGGCTGTGGAGAGGCCGGGCCCCTGTGGCACCCTCCCTGCTGCTGACGCTGCATGCCATGGGCTTGACAGAGCAGCCACCAGCGGCCTGGCCTGGGCCCCTGGGTGCCGTCGGAAGATGGTCTCGCTGGCTGCTTCGCTTGTGTGTCCTTCTCCTGTGTGGCGGTGCCCGGCCCCGTCTCTTGCTCCTCTCACCTGTCTGGTTTGTGCCCACAGTGCCTTCGGCCAGCATGACGCGCCTGGCCCGCTCTCGCACTGCCTCCCTCACCAGCGCCGGCTCTGCGGACGGCAGCCGCCCACAGCCCTGCACCCACTCGGAGAGCAGCGAGGGGCTGGGCCAGGTCAACCACACCATGGAGGTGTCCTGCTGAAGATGCCCACCTGCCCGTCCACATCAACCGCCCCTCCCCCGTCCCACTGCCATCCTTATGCCTGCTCATTTCTCCTTAGTTTATTTTTGTGAGGGTTTAGGGGAGGAAATGGGGTTACTTCTCTCTCTCTCTCTTTTTTTTAAGAAAAGAAGGGGTCTATCTTAGATGCTGCAGCCAGACAGTCTTTAGATGGCTTGAGGAACTCACTACCCACTTCCCACAACTCAGTCAAATGAAATTGGAGGACTTGAGCCCCTCTTGTCCACCCCTCAGCAGTCCAGGCACAGATAGACCGACCTGGGAGGGGCTTGGGGAACAGGACAAGAACCTGAGTCCTCACATGAGGATCCAGGATCATCTCTTGATTCTGGAAAGGGAGCAGGCTTGAGGATAGACTGGAGCTTTGAGGGGACGGTGGGTGGTGGGTGCTGGACAGCAGGAGCACAGAGTCCAGCTCGGGCATAAGACCCAAGAGACAGTGGCAGGGAGCGTTAGGGGTCTAGGAGTTCTGGCACCCTGAAGGCCCCTTCTTCCAGCCTTGCCACCGAGCAAGTCTGTTTGGGGGTTTTAAGTGCGTGGAGCCATCATCAGAACTGTGGCCACGTGGGAGTGGGGACGTTCCCAGCAGGCAACAGTTTTCCTGATTCTCTGGGCCTGGCTAATTCTGGAGGGTCGGGTAGAAGGAGTCTGAAAGGGATTTTCTCTGCCCAAGGAAGGCAGACTATGGAGGACACCAAGGAACCCCACACATTGCCTTTTCTCACGTGATCCTGTCCCCAAAGCAGAAGTTGGCCAGCTAGCGGACCTGTATGTGTTGTCCTTGGGTTGCCAGAGATGGTGGCGGTGGGGATTTGCAACAGATCCCTTCTTAGCTCAAGTCAGCAGGAGGTGGTCTGTGGTGGTTCTGGGGAGAAAGGACCAGTGAGTTCCTCTGGAGAATGGGTGAGCAGCCCCTCAGTTTTTCCATCTCTGAGGGTGGAGTGGGCATGGGCTAGGGCCTGCTAGCTTCTCCAGTGAGAGGCTTTTCCCACATCCCAGCCCTCTGCTGCCCTGAAGTCCAGGACTGTGCCCTGGACTTAATTCTGCCTGTCATATCCACCTTACTTTGTAGAATCTCCTGGCTCAGAAACCAGGAGCACAAACCCCGAAACCAGAAAAAAGGAGGTGATAGCAATGGAAACTGAAGAGCTGTGGGGAGGGAGGATGTGTGTGGCCCTCTGAGGCTGAGGACACCCGCTTGGCGTGTCTCCTCTGCACACATCACCACCACCTTCCAGATGTAAAGCCATTATTACTAGACCGAGTTAAGAGTCTGACAGGTGTGTTGGTCTGTTCTGAGTTTTAGTCGCTCATGTGCTTCCAAATGTGACTGAAAAGCAGGTAGAATTAATCCCTTATTGTAGATAGCACTGCGAATCTCAGACTTTTTTTCCCCCCTTTAATTTTTGCTGTGTTTCCAGATGAGATATCTATAAATATCTATACAGTATATATATAAATATAAATATATGTATATTGGGTCCTCCTGTGTGTGGTTTTTCCTTGGAGGTAGTTTGTGTCTGCTTTCTCTGGTCAAGGTGCATACATAATGGCGTTTATTATTTTCCTTCTGTACAAAGTGAAAAGTGTACTATTGTTTGTACTGGTGGCTTTGTCATGAGACTCTGAGATGACACAATGTACAACAAATTAAAACTCATGCACATGTAGAAAAGAGTTAGCTGTGCTCAAAAACCAATAAAGACACTAAGAAGAATGTTAAGTGTGGTTACGCCCCACGAAAAGGTTGTCCAGGCTGGCATTTCTTGTGTGTGAGTGGGGTTGAGGGTTGGGGGAGGGCAGGGACTTTCTCCATCTTGGTATCTCCAGGGTTTGTCACATACACTACTTTACATTAATTCCAAGATGTGGTGCCTTATGTATGAGGCAGTTCAACAACAACAAAAAAGTCAATAATATTAATAACTAGTTGCTGTTGGGGACAGGATGCTCCTCTCCTGTAAAGATTGAATGACAGCCTTGGGAATCGGATTGATGGAGGGTTCCTAGGATTTGGAACTGACTGGAAGGTAGCAGGTCCCTTAACCCTACAGTGCAGCTGTTACTGGCTTTACAGAGGAAGAAAGGAAGCTTCAGGATAAGCGACTGACCCCACTAAGTCATTCCACATGGTTTGACTTCAAATCCTCTGTGTGAGCTAACGTCATTTGTTGTCTGAGTTCCTTAATTGAAAAAACATGTTACTTAGTTGTTTATGTTTAACCATTATGCTTTATTACCTTAGTTCTGGCGTTCCTGTCATATGCGAGTTAATGTAGAAGAGCAAGGAGATTAAAATACCCAATACATGCTGTGCAGAGGATGAAAGTGGGAGCATGTGGAAGTGAGAAAGCTGGGAACTGGGGTGTCTAGAAGAGAACTGGTTCTAGATGCGGGACCAGGCGCACACCACCCTGCAAGGTGTGCGTGGACTGCTGTCACAGCAAACAGCAAGACAGGAGGCTCTGGGTGCCCCCCTGGGTGCATTTTCATCTGATCCAGAAGCAGGACTCCGTTCTAGCACCCAGACTTTCTCCATGAGCGGTCCCAGCAGTCTGAGTCTCATTAAAGGGAAGTTGTCGATACAGCACCATAACACTCCCTCCAGTCCTCAGATCAGCATTTTTCTGAATAACTCAAGTTATTCATCCTGTTTCTATAGGATTCCAACTCAGAGATCCCTATGCACAAAGCAGAATTGCCCCAAAGAGTTTCTAAGACTCTATAGACATTAAACATTTAATCGCTGTGCCACCAGGGCTCCTTCCATGCAGAGCATCCACTCCAAGAAAGCAGCCCTGCACTGCAATCCCAGAGGTGTGTGGTTGGGATCCACCAGATGTTCTGCTGGAGGAGGGGCAATCTCCTCCTGTACCTGTCAGATCTGATTTGACAGTACGGTACACACACACATAAAAATAAAATAAAAAGAAAGCAGCCCTGGTGGCTGTCCTGCAGTCCGAGTTAAACTGCTAAATGCAGTTGAAATCCACCACCAGCTACTCCACTGGTGAAAGCAAGGTAATTTCCTCCTAGATGGGAACGAAATCACACCCTGCTGAACACTGCTGGAAAGCAGAATGAATAAGTGTCTTGAAACAATTGGGAATAGAAATACAACATGCCAAAATAGTTGGGACACAGCAAAAGCAGTTCTCAGAGGTCAAATTATGCCAGTAAGCACACACATCAAAAAAGAAAAAAAAAATCCATGTCAATTCTTTAACGCATCACCCCCATCACTTGGAAAAATAATAGCAAGCAAAGCCTCCATTCTCCTGAAGAAATGAAAAGCCATATTGTTGGTAGGTGCCGTGTAGTTGACTGCACTTAGATCTTAACTGTGCCCTGTGCTGTGCTATCCTCACCAGCTCGGTTGTGCAGGAGCCTACTGATCTTTCTCGGACCCCTCACCTTTCATCAAAGACTAGCCCCTCCTGAAGACATGTCCACAGTATAAGGAAGAGGTTTCACCTCCCGTGCCTCTAAGTAGTACTGTGATTGCCATTACCAGGAGCCACCCCTTCCAGATCCGTGGAAACCACGTGGCCCCAGAGGCCCGCCTTGGCGAGGCCCCGCCCGGGGGCGCGGCCAGACCCGGAAGCGCCACCTCGGAGCGGGCCTGGAGGGACCATGGCGACCGAGGCGAAGCGCCCGCGGGTGAGGGCACAAGCGGCGCCTGGCCGGCCCTTTCCCTCCCCTGTCCCTGAGCGCCGCCCCGCTTACGCTCCCCAAGGCTCCTCCGGTGGGCCCCCAGCCTGCCGCGCGCTCCCTCTCCCACCCCCAGCCGGCCGCACTGCTGGGTGCAGCCTTCACTGCACCCCCTTGTCTCAGGTGGCGGGACCCGTGGGCTGCAGCGAAGCAGATCCAGACCCAGTGGCGCGCTTCCTGAGCTGGTGCGGGCAGGTGGGGCTGGAGCTGAGTCCCAAGGTGAGCGAGGGGCCGGTGGGCCAGAGGGCTGGAGGGAGGGCCCGCGCCCGCTCCCCGCTGACCGCGCTCCCGCGCAGGTGGCAGTGAGCCGGCGGGGCACGGTGGCCGGCTACGGCATGGTGGCCCGCGAGAGCGTGCAAGCCGGAGAGCTGCTGTTCACGGTGCCGCGGGCCGCGCTCCTGTCTCAGCACACCTCCTCCATTGGCTGCCTGCTGGAGCGAGGTGAGCATGCGCAGCCTGCGAGGCGCCCGGCTGGCCGGCCGCGGGATGCCCACCGCCTAACCCTCCACCCTGGCCCTCCCGCAGAGCGAGGCGCGCTGCAGAGCCAGTCCGGCTGGGTGCCGCTGCTGCTGGCGCTGCTTCATGAGCTGCAAGCCCCGGCCTCGCTTTGGAGCCCCTACTTTGCGCTCTGGCCGGAGCTGGACCGCTTGGAGCACCCCATGTTCTGGTGAGAGCTTTGGGAGGGGCCGGGGGCGAGGTGTAAGCAGTGCCGGCTGCTTCCGCCCCCCATGCGTTAGGAGCCTGGATGGGATTGTCTGCAGGCCGGAGGAGGAACGCCGGCGCCTGCTGCAGGGTACAGGTGTGCCCCAGGCTGTGGAGAAGGATCTGGCCAACATCCGGAGTGAATATCAAGCCATCGTGCTGCCCTTCATGGAAGCACATCCCGACCTCTTCAGTCCCTGGGTTCGCTCCCTCGACCTCTACCAGCAGCTTGTCGCTCTTGTAATGGCCTACAGGTCAGTGAGCAGAAGGAACTTTGGGAGACTGGAGTCTTTGAGAAGTGTTGGTTTATCTCATCAGTCTAGACTATCAAGGGAGACCTGGTCATCTGCCCTCATGACAAGCCCAGAAAGAGGCAGCAATCAAAATTGACACCCTGCACCTAAAACGGGGAGTAATTTTACTGTTCTATCAAAAACTGAGCTTTTAGCCAAACTGTCAGTTTTCAGGAGCCGCTGGAGGAAGATGATGATGAAAAGGAGCCTAATCCTCCCTTGATGGTGCCTGCTGCAGACATACTCAATCACTTGGCTAACCACAATGCCAATCTAGAATACTCACCAGTGAGTAGATGCTGTTATTTTCTTACTCTGAAGGGGAGCATGTTATTGAAGCCAGGGTTTCATTTATGCTACCCTGACTAAAGGTGCACTCCAGTTCTTGCTAAGACAACCTTGAGGAGGTCAAATTCCCTCTTTGGGCATCTACTTTTAATTTTACTAAAGCATGTGAATGCAAACTTTGATTGCCTAAATAGCATCTAATGCAATTACTCCTCAGCCTGGAGGCTGTGTGTCCTTAAGTCTCACACTCAGGGTCTTTGATATTGTATATACTGTTAATGCTACATGTTGTTGTTATGCTACTTAAAATGTGTAAAAGGGCTGTTTCTGAATCTTTGCTTCTATTTCTCCACTCTGATCTGGGTTAAAATTATTCTTAAAACTAACAATTTTGTAAAATGCTCTTAAAGATGACTAAGGAAATTAAGGGAGGTCACCTTATAAAAGCACCAAGCAGTTTTGTAGTGCTAGCATTATGGTACTAAGGTTTATTGGTAATTGCTAATTGAAAACTTTCTCCAGTACCCGCCAGTCACTGCTTAAAAAAGCACATGGCCCTCTCATCCTTCAGTACAGGACCTCTCGTTTTTCATGCTAGGATTGTCTGCGGATGGTTGCTACCCAGCCCATCCCTAAAGACCATGAAATCTTCAACACTTACGGGCAGATGGCTAATTGGCAACTGCTTCATATGTATGGCTTTGCTGAACCATACCCTGGCAACACTGATGACACAGCTGACATTCAGATGGTGACAGTTCGTGAAGCAGCATTACAGGGTGAGTAACCATCGTGGACACCGGTACTCTCTGCTCTCTAGAGGTTGCCTCCCCCGCTTTGGGCAGAGTGAAGTAGGTATGGTGAGAAATGAGCCCTTGGGGTATACTCTGACTTGCACACCATTGTTTTTTTTAAATTTGCAGGAAAAGCTGAAACGGAAAGACTCGTACTATACGAACGCTGGGATTTCTTGTGCCAGTTGGAGATGGTCGGGGAAGAGGGAGCCTTTGTGATTGGGTGGGAGGAGGTGGTTACAGAAGAGGAGCTGACCACCACACTCAAGGTAGAGGGCTGAGAGTGTGAGCAAATGGGAAGCAACAGATGGGGTAACTGAGAAGGAATGAAATGCTGCCAAGCAGGTGTGTCGTAACTTCAAAAGGACGCAAGTGGTGCATCTAAGTAGAGTCTCATGGTTCTTCTAGGTTTTGTGCATGTCTGCTGAGGAGTTTAAGGAATTTAAAGACCAGGATGGATGGGAAGATAACAGAGGTGAAGACAGTCTGATGATCTCAGATATTCCCAAACTCAGAGCATCATGGAAACGACTGCTTCGGGATAGCATTCTGTTGACCTTGCAGGCCTATGCCACGGACTTAAAAACTGAGCAAGATTTACTCAGCAAGGAGGTATATACCAAACTTAGCTGGAGGGAACAGCAGGCGGTACAGGTGCGCTATGGTCAGAAGAGGATCTTACATAATTTGTTGGAATTGACAAGTTAGGCTGCCCTACTGCCTGAAGGAACAGAGGTGACAGGAACTTTAAAATGACATGCTTAGCAAAGGCAGACAATTTGGATTCTGCCATCATTCTTACTAAATAGCAAAAAGGGGAAAGAGTTACAGAGATTACCTGTGAAGTAAGGGTGATACTGTGCAAGAACTAGGGATTGCAGATTTTGGAATCACTTCAATTTAAAAGCTCTGTTTCCTGTTAATTGTAGTAGTAATTTACAGAGTAAGCTTACTCAGTGATGGTGGTGGCATTAATACCATCCTTAATTAGAAAGCCAGCAGTTGTTTGCATCAGGTGGTCTAACGATATTCCAGTCCCACTCAGGTTGAGTTCAACTATTTAATTTTGAAATATTTTGTCGTTTTAAAAAAATTTGACAGTTATCATTGAAGGTAAATAAACTGTTAAGTGGACAAGTTCTAAATATATAGCTAACTCATTTTCTTTTAAAAATTACATCAAAAGACTACCAAGGGTAAAAGATATTAAAGAAAAAGGGTATCTCTTTTTTATAGTTCTGTTTAACCATAGAGACAGGGTCTAACAATTCGGTCAAAAAGAAACAGGAAGAAAAACACTATACAAAAAGCATTTTCCTTGTTTAACATGCCAGATTAGTGGGAAAAAGAGTTGTCAATTCATTCTGCAAAAAGCCGCTGTCCACTCCCTTCCTCACCACCAGCACCAGCTGCTGTAACTGAGAAAGGCACTTGGACTCGCATGCGTGTCGGGAGTTTAATGTTTACAGTCTGCATACACATACAGGTGGGGTAACTAAAGCCCAGGAACTAGAAAGGCTACAAAATACAACACACGGACCAATACATTTTTACAAAACAGTCAAAATGTTTACAAAAGAGGCTGTATTGGTCCTTATTTTGTTGTTAAACTTATGGCCATTCAGTGGTAATCAGGGAAGGCAGTTCATAAGATCTGGTTCCCTTTCTTTTCCCCATAATTTATCAATTATGAGGAAAGAAAGGGGCTAGAATTTATTTATTTATTTTTTTAGGCCTGGTCTGTTTCCCTTTATAAAAATAACTCTCACAGGGCCCAAGGGGTATACTTTCCAGGGGTGGGGGTTGTGGGGTGTGAAGCTGGTACAGCTTGTTGTTCTCCCTGCAGTCACTTTTGGATTAGGGCTGAGAAAGAAGCAAAACATAAAACTACAGGATAGGTTTACTACTTTACCTATCACATCAAATTCACATATACCCCATTTTAACAATGAATGATCTTCAAGGTCCCCTGTTCACATTAAAAAAATAAGTTACATAATATTTAAACTGGCTTTTTGCTATTCTTTGGGACACCAGAATGTCAGAAGACATGAAACTATGTCCCCAGACAAGTGCATGGCATCTATAGCTGCCTCTGTATTCCACGTAGGTACCAGTTTATCCACTTGTCTTGGACATTTTGCACAAACCCAAGAAGTTCCAGACAAAGGTTTTCTCTTTCATATATTTACACAAGTTCAAAATGATATTCACAGCATCTTCTAAATTTTGGCCAAGAGTCAAAAAAATGCATTTAAACTTTGGAACGTGCCCACAGACAGGTGACTGACCCTGACGGCAGTAGGGACAGAGACCCAAGAACCAAAGGGCTGAGAAGTCAGGAGGAGCCAACAGGAGTCTGCAGCCAGTTTATGACTGATGCGACAGGACCTCCAGGCTGAGGAGCTTAGAACGGAGACACAGTTCTAACTAACTGGCACTCGTCCCTTCCATGACTTGCTGTGCTTGCTTCTGTCCCATACAGCATTGTGCAACTGACTGGAATAACCTGAAAAATGAAGACAGTTTCATTTGTGAGAAAAGTTCAGCTCTAGGAATACACATCTAGCTTCCCACTTAGTTTATATACCGCTGCCTTAATCACCCACCCAAGCTGAAGAAAACAAAAGAGAAATTTTCCAGTCAATTGCTTTTTACTCACTTTTCAATTTCTGGGGCACAGTGTACAAACTCGTGATTCCAGAACTTAAACGCTGGATTTTTAATCAGCTCAATGAAGGTAATAAGAAGACCCCAAGGATGTGGCCTATTTACAATTAACCGTTCCAAGAGAACCCTGGAGAAGGAGAAAACTTAGTTAATGCACAGAAAAACACAAATTCATAACCACCCTAGCCTTTCCTCCTTTGCCTGATTATTGAACCGTACAGAAAGTATTAGCTTTATGAAAGACTGGATTTAGTCTCTTTATACACCTTGGCTAATGCAGAGATCTGGGAATTCGATCATGTCTCTACATCCTGGTTTTTCATTTTCTGAATCCTACAAGTTTGAGCTTGCTACTGTAATGTGAGGATAGCAATAAATGCACTTACACAGGGTTCCAAAGACCACATTATAAAAAACTGGAGGGTGCTCACTGCACAACCACCAAATTCTACCTGTCAAACAAAGCCGACCCATAAATAACCATCTTAGCCAACATTATTTGTTTCTACCAGGTATTAAGTCATCAATGTTCAAAAATAGTCTTTTTAAAGTGTTACCAGAAAAGTGAAACATCAGGTAACATGATAGTTACTCTAAAGTTGGGAATTGCTGGTGCTGAGTTGTCCTGAGCCCAAAGGCCATGCATCTCAGCTCCTCAAAAACACAACGCTGGTCACTAGGAGTTAGAACTGACTTGATGACAGTGACTGAAATACCCACACCTTATGTACATAAAACTTAGTGATCACCATTCTACTCTGAATTTTATTTTCAAGCTCAGTCATCATTAAGATGACAGCTAATATGTTAATTTCAATTTCTTCACACTTGACTCTCCCATCTAACACTTTATTGATCTTTTCAAGATGTTCAACGAACACTAAAATGTGTAGGAAAACTACTCAGAACTCAATAAGATAAGGAATGCCATTTGAGAAACAAGTTTCTCACTTACCTTGTGATCTGTTCCTGGATAGCTTCAGTGTTGGCCTCTGCAAAAAGGTACAGCATGGTGCAGCTGAAGTAATGTGTGTGGCTGTTTGGGTACCGTAGCTGATTCGCAATTGCATTTAAGAAGAGATATCGACCTAGAAAAAAGTGGGGTATACTGAGGGCTTACTCTGATATACCAATATGTAAGCAAAAAGATTTCTTTTTAGCTGGATAAAGTTTGAATTTCTGATAGGTATTCAAAGGAATTTGTACTTATAATTTGAATGGTTTGCCATTCAATTATGCCTATCCTTTTGTTTCACAACATTTACAATCCTCACTTGGTAGAAACATGCTTCCCACTCCCTCCCTATAGTATTCTTTTCCAGTTCGCCAAGCTTATCCCTTTCCTTCCTCTACTGTTCACTTTAAAAAAAAGTTTTGAGACCTGTCACTTAAGAAGTGGATGGCCAATTCTGCTTTCCAATCTGTCAATACGAGAGCTCTACTAAAACCTGTCCACCATGGGTGACCGTTATAACATATGACATAAAAATGGTGTAGCTTTCAATATCACAGCAACCCACAAGTTATCTCAGTACAGCAAACTGACAAACAAGTGCTGTACCGATCAGAACACAGTTCTGTTGATACTGAGCTGCTCCAACAATTCTTTTCATAGATGTAATCAATCCAGTTCCTGAGTAGTCCATCAAGTTGACTGTGTATAGTCACCATTTGTATGTTGTTGTTTTGTGTGTTTTTTAAAAGGTATCTGCAATGAGTTAATAATTTATTGTACCAAAGTCTATCGTTCTATTTCCAAACCCATGTCTGTCACCAGGCTTAGATTTTCTAACTACTGGTCCTTCTTCCTTGTTCCCAACTTTTACATTCTAGTCACCAATTACTCTTTTTATTTAAACAAAAAAATTTTTTTTGTGTGTACCATCAAATCAGATCTGACTGGTATAGGAGGAGATTGCCCCTCCTCCAGCAGAGCATCTGGTGGATCTGAACCGCAAACCTCTGGGATTGCAGTGCAGCTTCTTGTCACTAGGCCACCAGAGTTCCCTTCACCAATTATTCTTACTAAATCTTGGTTGCACATTTCATCAGTTTCAGACTGTAAAAGTTGGCAGAAATCTTCACTCTCTTTGGTTTTAGTTGTTGATGTGTTTCAGATGGCTAACAAGCACATGAAGAAATGCTCAAAATCCCTATCCCTAAGAGAGATGCAAATTAAAACAACTATGAGATTATGAGATATCATCTCACCCCAGTCAAAATAGCAAAATTTAACAGAACATCAAGCAACAAATGCTGGCAAGGTTGTGGAGAAACTAGTTGATGTGTATATTTGAATGGTAGTATCATTAACAAGACTTTGGTGTGCATATATAGTATCTGTTGTGGTTGTTAGGTGCCATCGAGTCGTAGATGACTCATAGCAACCCTATGAATGAGAAAGCCTGACACTGTTTGTACACAGAGTTTCCGGATATAGTATCTAGTCACTCTTATTTAGGATGGATGTAGAAATGGCCTTTTGACTATGAATGCTACCTCATTTTTCTTCACAGCAAATTGTGGATAACATTGTGAGGAATGGGAATCCCAGAACACTGTGCTCATGTGAAACTTAACACCTAGACCAGGAACCTGTTGTATGGTTCAAGATCAAGAAAGGAGTGAATCAGGGATGTATCTTTTCCTTCTAATTTTTCTATCTGTCTGTGGAACAGATCATTCAAGAGACTGGCCTGAAGGCTTGAGACTAAAGTGGCTATATGCACCTTTCAGGATGTGTCTTGACTGTATTCTGTCATTAATCCGATTAAATCTTTTTTACTTTGATATAGTTCTGTGTGGTCTGTGAGCGATCACATTGGACTCTGGACCCAGCAAAGCATTAAGATTGATATTGTGATGAGTGGAAAGAGGCATGGAGCAGGAGGGACATGTCTGACCTCCTGGGAATTGGGTTTGTGTTACTGATGCAATTGACAAGGACAGTTTCCCTTTTACGAAGCTGGTACAGATCAGATATGGCTGTTTCCACGTGGCCCTTGTTCTTTTACAATCATATCCTTCAAATCCACTAG